TCCCAAGAGAGTTTTTAGAAAATCTAATGAGATTTTAAAAGAACACTCTCAGGATCACTTCACTAACACCCAAATAAGCATGAGGATTTCATTAATGGCTTAGCTTGAGGAGCATGTGGCATGGGAGCTAAGCTTTCACAAGTTTAGCAATTTGAGAGAGAGAAAACAGCGTGGGTTTCTTACGGAGGAAATATCAGTGCGAGCCCTATCCTAAGAAGAAGAAAGATGAACAGAAGAGAGGTTTGGGTGGCTTGAGAAAATTCCAGATTTGCTTGACAAAGCTTGGTCAAGGTCTGGATCGTTGAGTTGTGGATGTCTTTTCTGGGTAGCAAAAGTCTCCTTTTATAGGCGTTAGGAGCTCCAATTTCGTCTGGTTTTCTTCTTCCTTTTTCCTTGGCAGCTCCTACCTAGCCCTATTTTGATAAATTTCTCCATCCAAGGAGCATGGGTAAGGAACCCTTTATGGTTCCAACGGTTTGACGCAGCTGGGCTTTCCCATAGAGGGGAAGGCGCCACCTGCTTTCCTTATGTTTTCTCCAAGGCAGAGCTTACAGAGGAAAAGGGGAGAGATGGAGCCTTTTGTCTGATGGACACTTCCCTCACCCCCATGGATTTCCTCTGGTCTTGCCATGGCTCCCTTATGACCATTGTTTGGAATTTAAACGGGCATAGGACTTGACGCCAGATTTTTGTAAGTTGCTGGGCTTGGGCTTGTACATATGGTATTGGGTCCTCTGGCTTTGTTGCTTCTAACGTTTGGCAGGCTTTCGTCAAGCTGCTGGAAAGGCTTTCCCTTTAATTCTATTGATGTGGGCTGGGCTAAATATCTTGGTGGGTTCTTTGGTGTCTTCCTAGAGCATGGGTCAATTTTTCTCCTCTCTCTCATGCTAACCCATATGCTTGGGTTCTAGGAACGGGCTTGAGTTCCAAAGCCCCCAAGTGGCTTTGAAACCTACGTTCCTTGAACCCTCAATGGGCCCCGTGATTGCTTGTCACCTTCCATACCACAACCTCCTCAGTAAGCCCCGGTTAATTTTGTGGCTTGGGCCCACTTAAGCTCGTGACGTAGCTTGGTATTAGAATGCGCATGATTTCTATGCTCGTGCTTGGGGTTTTATTATGCCATGATAGGCTAGAGTCGGGCCAAGTAGCACCGAATGAGCATGTGAGCGTGATTTAGTAATATCGGTATGTCCTTGGCTCCTTCTGCACGTGCTTGTTTAGCATGATTCGTGGCTTGTAGCTTGTGTTGGCGGCTCTTATAAATTTCCTTTTATCCCGATTGAGCTTATTTTGCATCCAATTACCCATATTGGGCTAAGGATTAATTTGGGCTTAGCCCCTTGGATTTTTGGGCCTCAACATTAGCCCCCTTGATTATTGGGGCCATGAGTGACTTTGGGATGGGTCAAATAATCAAACCTGGCCCAAAAGAAAAGTCAAATCCAGGCTGCTGACGTGACCTTCCCGTTTCCCGCGTGTGTGCTGCCATGATTATTTTCCAGCGGTCTCTTGCATTCTCCAGGTACGCTTCCATCAATCCTGTTTTATTTTATTTTATTCTTCTTTCCTTTTCTTCTCTTCCTTTTTTCTTCTCTTCGTCTCTGACTCCCCACTTCTGTGCACGCGAGCCCTAAAACTAGTTGCCCCCTTTTCGTTTTTGCTGGTTCCTTCTCATACACAGGTCTAGGGAATCCTTGGGAAACGAGAAATCTCAGTGAGGCCCCATCCACAACCGCTGGTTGGTTACGTTCAGGAAACCGCTCACAACCATCGGGGAAAAGCCACAATTCTTCTTTAAAATCCCTCAAATTTCTTCAATTCGCTCTTCAATCCGTCCAAAACCAAGCTTAGCAGAGTCACTTGGCAAAGTGTGGAGCAATTTCTGCGGTGGAATTGCAAGGCAGTTCCCTCCTCTTTCGACTTCGGCAAGCTGCTGGAAGAATTCCATCGATAGCAGTGGTAAGCGTCGTTCCCCCATTTTTTGTTTTCTACTTCTTGTTACAACTAATTGAATATGAATATGAAATTTGAATATGAACTGTATGCCATACGACTAATTGCATTGAAAAGCCAATCAAAGGATTTAGTAGAAATAACCAGATTCAAAATTAAATCTTGCTAAACCTCAAACAGTATTTCTTTGGTCTATAGGATTAACTTCTCGTAACCGGCATTAGTAAAGCAGGGAAATTTCTACTCTTATCAAACTCATGAGATCAGAAGTCACATAAACTGACTACCAACACCTCAACTACAGAGGGACCTATTTTCAATTAAGAAAAACCTATATTGCCAAAAGACAAAATTATGAATAAAGACATGCTTAATATTTTATTAACACATCAAAGAATCATTATAAACTCTATCTCTGAGCCTGCATTCTATATGAATAACTAACACTGCCAAAACCATAAAAAACAAACAACATAATGCATTAAGTCACCAAACATACATGCCAGCTAAAAAACAGGAGAAAAAAAAAGAGAGTAAATCTTACTGCTTGTAACTTAGATTTCTCGTCTCTTTCCTTTCAAATTTCTCAAGATGCAACACAAATGTTTCAGAAATGAGTACAGCTATGTTTAACATCAGATATAGCATATGAGCACAAGAACAAAAGATAATTATAAATGACTCACAAATTAAGTGTTATGTTTGTTTTAGGTGAACCTGGAGATGCTACTAAGGTTGAAACTTGAATCCCATACTCAAACTCATACAAATCCGACTATGGAGATCTAACAAGACATGTTACCTCTCAAATTGAATGAAAATATGGAAAAATGGGTATAACACTAGTCAAACAATGGATCTCCCTGTCCCCATCCATTTCATGTTTATGCATTCTTTAACTCATGTCCTGAAGATAACACATAAAACAACAAAAGTGGATACTCACAGAATGTAAACAAGTAGCTCAGGATCACCCTCATTGCTCTCCAAGTGTTCCTGTTGCAGAAAGTAGGATCAGATGAGGCTTAATATGCCTAGTAATTGAAACATAAATTAAAACCAAAATATATGCATGGTAAACCTGAACTGATCTCAACCAATGATTCAACAATTTCTTGGCCGAAGATGAGAGTTTTTCCTCTTCTACAGCAGCTGTACTATCTTGCTTCTCTCTGGGAATTTTGATTTACTCTTTTTGCCCATCTTATGGATCCAAAAGCTGCATTTCACCCAGATTACATTACTGAGAATTGACAAAGATGAAATTTAAAAAGAAAAAATTCAAAAGAAGAGATGACTCAACAATTAGAGCCCCAGAAAGCAGCATACTCCTTTTGGGTCAGTTTGTAAAGAATCAAAACAACTTGAGGAACATGAAACTGAATATTTAGGTAAGAGAATATTTGTTCATCATCAGCTTCCTAGCAACCAAACATAACATAAACCAAAACAGAAAATGGAAAATACTTATTTTCAATTGCAATTTCTCAGCTTCTCATTAACTTTGTCTCTGGCAATTCAGATATCAAGGCTGGTCTACACAAACGGAGGTGATGCCATTTTGGTGTTAATTAGCATTCATTTTCTCTGGAAATGGCCACAGGACCTTAATTCTTTATAATTCTTTCCTATTAGATTTCTCCTCCATTTTCCTTTCGAATTGAAACCGAAGTGACAGTTTGTCATTTGATTCTGATGATGTTGATTGAATCCAGGCAACTCCCAAGGTTCACCCTAATTAATGGAAACCAAGGAGTGGCTTAGAGCTGATGAACAATGACCTTCCCAGCACCAACTCTGAAGAAGAGGCCATGTCCTGCTTTGATTTGTCCAAGAATGATTCATATCTCATATCACCAACAAGAGGGATGATCTCCATTTTTGAGTATTTGCAGAGATGACAGACCCGCTCGGAAAAAAGAAATCTTTTATATAAAACAAACGACATTCAAGTTTTCGAAAAGTAGGCCGCCTAGGCGGGCTAGGCGGGTTCTTTTTTTAATTTTATTTTAATAAACAGTATAGCCGTGCGGCTATACCTTTTAAATATATTATTTATTTAAACGGTACCGCCGTGCGGCTGTACGCCATGAATAATATATTTAAAGAGTAAAGCCGACCGGTTGTACTTTTTTAAAAAAATTTATATTTTCTGTGATTTTCCTTTATCAATAAGAGTAGTTTAGAACATTATCCATTACTATTATGCCATACCCGAGTCTTTATTGTCCCCTTTTGACTTTTTTACTTATTACCCATAGAAATAATTTAGCATTTTCCCATTCAATACTTGTATTATATACGTAAGTACGTATTTTTCAATAATACTTTCGTTTTCTGTACACGTCTTAAAGACTCGGTAAAATACATATATTTTTTTTTAAAAGCAAACATACAATATATGTATTGTACATGTACATATATATTATTCATGTTTAATACACAGGTTTTTTTACAAAATTTTCAATAATACACAAAATTTTCACATATTATTGAATAAAAAAAAATATATATATTAAAATATTATATAGTTGCCGAATTTTTTAGTTGTAACTTGCTAAAAAAATTTCGAATAAATCACGTACGTATTTTTCCCATTCCGTATTTTACTAACTATGAAAGAATGTGAGAGGCTAAGATTATTTCTCTTTGTAACAATAATGCAAGACAGTGAACTTTCGAAATCTCTTTGCCAGCCAGAACAACAATTTCAAACAAAGATGTATGAGTATAGTAGTAAGAGGTGGTAGTATTCTTTTTGTAAAAAAAAATATAGAACAAGAGATTAGGTGAGATTAGCTCTTCAGTATCGGTCATCGAATGCACAAACATCCACAACCCTCAAAGAAGGGACCAACACATTTCGAGAGCCCCCGCCCATCCCCTTGATCATAATTTCATTAATATAAAAGAAACATACAAAGAAAACACGTACTGCAGGGGGACCAAACCAAAACCCTGCAGAAAAGAAAGACAGTGACATAAAGGCACAGCAACATGCGGACCCAAAAAACCAAAACTTTGAAGGAGTAAACAAAAAGAGACTAAGTAAAACAGTAACTGGGCATGCCCAGCTGGTCCCGATGACGAAGACAAAATAAATGAAGGTGCAATGTCCCACCACGTGAACCCAGAGCCCTGAACATCGTGATTTGCCAAAGTGTCAACTCTATGATTACCCTTGCGAAATATATGAGAAATCTTAAACAACATGTACTGGAGACGATGCAAGCAATTCTGCCAATCAAATCGCAAGTGCCAAGGGACCAAATGAGGAGAGCGAAAGAATTGAGTAACTAATAACGAATCAGTTTCAATCCAAACATTATGCCAAGCGTGAAGCCAAGCAAGCTTAATGGCCTTGATGACATCTAAAACTTCAACATGTACTGCACTAGGGACATCTAAATTGGAGCAAAATGCCCTAAGTACACAACCATGATAATCTCGAAACACACCACCACTACCTACTTTACCAAAGTCACTTTTGCGAGTGCCATCAGTATTAATTTTGACCGAACCAAAGCAAGGGGGATGCCACGTAACCTCAATAATTTTGGGATTAGGGCTGGGTCTACACCGCACCCCAAAGGAACGAATAGTACACAAGTCACACACATTGTTCGACATATGACCCTTGGCCAAAGTACTAGAGGCACGCACATGATAAATGGTACAACAAGCAAAATAAACTGTAGAAACCTTTAAGTAGAATATTTTATAAGTATAGCCGCCCGGCTATACTCTTTAAACAACAAACTTTGGATTTCTCTTTTTACATTACTTTAATTAGTAGTTATGTTTTAATTATTATTTACTTAGTGAATAATTAGTATTTAAATATTTTATTAAAGAAAATAATAAAAAATAAAATGCTATTTATTAAGTAATATAATTTGTGGACTTAATTAAAATGTTTAATACTAATTATTCACTAAATAAATAATAATGAAATTAAATAAATAAGGCTATGATATTATTTAATTACTTAAAGAAAATTTGAAAAAAACAGCTAAAGACACTAAGTTTATATATATATATATATATATATTTTAAAAACCTCTCCCGACGAATATTTGCCGGATAAGACCTCTTTCGACGAAATTTCGTCCACAGAGATAATTTTCATCGGGAGAGGTCTAATCCAGAAAATATTTGCCGGCATAGACCTGCTGTCGGGAGAGGTTTTTTGCTTTTTTTGTTTTAATTTTTAAAAATATAAAATTAGTTTCTTTACTTGTGTTTTTTGGCCAACTTCTTTAATTTAATATATGTAATTAATTAATATCTTAGTCTTTTTTAATTAGTAATTATTTTTTCATTAATTTTTTCTTTAGTGAATATTTAAATATTACTGATTTCATAATTGACTTAATAAATAGTAATTAATTATTTTGTGGTCTTTTTTTTCAATATTATATAATAATTAAAACATAATATGTTTAAAGGGTATAGCCGAATGGCTATAATGTTGTCCATCTCCGTCGTCATCTTCTTCTTCTTCTTGTATAGTTGGCGATTCCCCTTCATCTTCACCAGCAGCATAAGCGATGGCGTCATGATCCAGAGACTCATCGTTGGATTCATGATTATTAATAGAGGTGGTGCTGCAACTTGAACTGCAAAGTCTAGGACTAGGCACAGAGATTGCTTAGTTTATGGGTCCACCTCCACCTTACCTATATTTATGTAAATAGTATATAGTATGGGGCAGCAACATTTTCTATATGGTCATATTGTTTAAATATAATGTAAGCTTGGTGAGGTAGGATTACGAATATAATCATCATCACGGATTCACGGAACGGATGATCAAGTGACATAAATTCATTGGACAGCTAGCTTTTAAAAAGGAGATAGCTATATAGATAATAGACAGAGAAGTTTGACCAGGATCTTCTTGACAAAGCACCTTAATTTGCAAGAATAATCATGCCTTCCAATTACGGGTTCATCAAAACATCCCCCATTTAATTAGGAAATGGAAATACATTGCGCTTGGCAATGGCATTATGGCAAGCCGATGTTAATGAGGAAACTGACATTATTAATTGATTAATTATTGTATAATTTGAGGAGCCAATCTCTCGCACTCAAATGCATGTACAGAGTACAGACATGATGTATTCACTTCACTTGTACATCTGTTAATTGGTTGGTCACAGCAAAAATAAGTGAGGAAGGCAAGGCATACATATATAATATATATAATATATTAATTAATTGTCGAAGGAATCATGACCATTGTCTCCCCCTGTGAAGTCTTTGAGTTGGGTTTCTTCAAGCCAGGCAATATTTCAGGCTGGTACTTGGGCATATATATGGTACAAAAATGTCCAAAACAGAACAGTTGTTTGGGTGACCAACATAGACACCCCACTTTCAAATTCATCAGGAGCTCTTTTGATGAGTGGTGAACATGGAAACATTGTCCTTCTTGATCCATCTGGAAATGTCAGTTGGTCCTCCAATCACACCCAAGTTTCGAGACCAAATGTCCTGCTTTTGGATATAGGCAATCTTGTGATCAAAGAAGGAACCGAAAACAGCCAAACATATTTCTGGCAGAGCTTTGATTATCCCACACACATTCTGCTTCCAGCTATGAAGCTCGGATGGAAGTTGAGCACATGTTTAAACAGGTACTTGACCTCGTGGAAAAGATCAGAGGACCCATCAACAGGGGGCTTTTCTATCAAACTAGATCACCATGGCTTCCCTGAGATTTTCCTTTGGGACATGAGGGTATATGCTGATGGTGGCCAAGATCTCAATGTTCTAGGCGGGGGCTAGGCGGGCTAGGCGGGCTAGGCTGGGGCTAGGCTCGCTAGGCAGTCTAGGCGGTGGCTAGGCGGCCTCTAGGCGGTCTAGGCGGGCGACATGAGGGTATATGCAGATGGTGCCCAAGATCTCAATGTTCTAGGCGGGGGCTAGGCGGGCTAGGCGGGCTAGGCTGGGGCTAGGCTCGCTAGGCGGTCTAGGCGGTGCTAGGCGGTCTAGGCGGGCGACATGAGGGTATATGCAGATGGTGCCCAAGATCTCTATGTTCTGGGCGGGGGCTAGGCGGGCTAGGCGGGCTCTAGGCGGTCTAGGCGGGCGCTAGGCGGGCGCTGCGCATAGAAAAAAAAAACACCATTTTGGAATCTCCAAGGTCAGGGAAGAGATCACGATGGTGCTATGAGCGAGAGACAGAGAGATGAGGATTGAAGAAGAAGTCTGAGCGAGAAGAGGGGCTGGAAGACGGCTCTTGTTAGAGTTAGGGTTTGAGAAGGAAAATTGCATTTATATGTTGAAGAAAAAAAAACAAAAGAAGAGATGGGCCCCCGATTACTCCTCATTCTGAAACCCCTTTTATTTTCTCTCTTGTGTATGCAGTGCAGGTGCCAAAGACTGGAAAAGGCAAGAAAAAAGGCTCAACCCGTTAACAAGGAAGGATATTTTATCATCAGCAAGATGTTTCTCCATGGGGATTCAGTTATCATTGTTCTTAGGAGTATTAAGTGAGGTGTATTGTATGTAGCTTTGACAATTCCAATAGACTTGTACAAGTAGAGTTCATGCTGAAGATTTATATGCACTGAAGTTGGGAGCTTTTATATGCACTTTTTTAAATTAAAGCAACTTTCAAGTGTTGTATATTTCTTTGGATTTGTTTGTGAATTTCAGTTTACTCGTATTGAATGCACTTTTTAGTCGTATAGTTCTTGAACAAAACTTAACTCGTTTGAATCTGTTGGTGAATTCAATTGATAGGTATTTGCACTTCACCATATATAAGTGGTAATCTTAATTTACCTTGTGCAAGACTTGGTGAAATTATATAGTGGTAAGGTATCACCACGTAAACTGATGATATACTTTTTAGGAAATGTGTCTTTCTTACTATTATAACCGAAATTATATACTTTCTTTTGAAAGGAACAATGACAATACATTGTCCCATTAACTATACAAAAGATCATATAGCTTTTTTAGGAACAAAAATAATTTAAATTTGACATCTTGTACCTTAATTACATTATTGACACAAAGATTATCTGAAGAAATTCCATATTCTGGGTATCGAAGTGGAATCGTTGGTGACAAATCTAAATCTATAACAAAAAAAAATATTTCTATATATGGGTTAGCTAATGTTGGGACTTTTGTCTGAATCACGAGCGCTCTGCATCATGCAAAAGGTGTCTCAATACAGCAAGCCAAAATCTTGGCGAGCGTTGTCGTCTTAGTCGAGGAGCTATAATATGGATGGTTGGTTGCATCCTAAAATACTCAGACACAAAATTCTTTGGTATAATCGACAAGGATAACATGGTGTATATGGGAAAAATCCTCAATGTTCTGTTCCTAATTCCAAGTTATTTCCAATGGCACTAGATCATTTGTTAAATTGATTAACTTCTGAAATTGTTTCCGGACAATTTGTATGCTACTGGAAGCATTCAGGTGACAAAGAGGAATAAAAGGACAAAAAGGATTGATCTTTATAGTTTCGGTCGAGTGTACTAGAGACTTGTCACATGAAGATTGCAAGAAGTGCCTTCACGTTGCAATAAACGAACTTCAAGGTTATAGTCAAAGAATGAGTGGTGGACGTGCTATTTATGGGAGTTGTTATGTCAGATTGAATTTTACATCTAATACTAAAATTTGTTTCTTTCAAATGGAGGTATTTATGAATAAGTAAAAAGATGTGTTAACCTTAAAAGAGATAAAATATTAAATAAATCTCAACTTCAATAGGACTAAATAAATGGGTGTGTAGGATTACATAAACGGGTAAGTACCTAAATAAACTCCCCAACACCAAATGGACAAAAATTAAGATTTATATATGTGTATATATATATATATAGACAATCTTAAGGTTTGTTTGATAACCATTTCATTTTCGCTATTTTTGAAACTCATACTTTTGAAAAAGAAAAGATATTTGGTAACATATTTCGTTTTCCGTTTTCAAAAAAGTGAAATCAGGTTATCAAAATTACCCTTATTTTTTACAACAATTTGAAAGTGGTTTTAGTTTTCAATTTTCGTGCGCTCTTTTTCACTCATCAATTTGACATAACCAAGCATGGAATGCATTCGAGGTACCAAAACTCAGTATTTGGGACCACCTTTAACTACTTTAATTACTTTAATTAGTAGTTATGTTTTAATTATTATTTACCTAGTGAATAATTAGTATTTAAATATTTTATCAAAGAAAAAATTTAAAAAATTAAATACTATTTATTAAGTAATATAATTTGTAAAGTTAATTAAAATAATTAATACTAATTATTCACTAAAGAAATAATAATTAAAATGTAATTACTAATGAAAGTAATTATATAAGGCTAAGTAAGATATGATTTAATTAATTTTTTTTTTTTTTTAAAAAAAAAAAATATTGACTTCAAGAAACTAAGTATATTATTTCTTTTTAAAATAAACCTCTTCCGAAGAAATTTTTTCGGGAGAGGTCTAATCCGGCAAATATAAATTCATATTTTTATTGTTGGTGCAATGTGGAATTATCTTTAAAGGATAGAATATTTCAACAGTATAGTTGTAGGGCTATACTCTACAAATAAAATATTTCAATAGTATAGTCGAGCGGCAATACTTGATAAATAGAAATTTTCAATAGTATATAGCAGCTGGGCGATACTCTCTAAATAGAAATTTCAAACGTATAGCCGCCCGGCTATACCGGTAAATAGAAATTTCGAACGTATAGCTGCGCGGCTATACGCTGTAAATAGAGTATTTCAATAAATTTTCAAAGTATAGCCGACCGGCTATACTATGTAAATAGAGTATTTCAATTAATATTTCAACTGTATATGCTTAACCACAAAGACATAATAACCTTCACTCCATCATACCATCTTCATTACTAAATTTATTCAATTATAAAATTACTAAGCTATTCCAAATATGATTCATTCCACCCACTCCCAAGCTCATTCACGTTTGTTTACATTAACCCAAGCAAATCCTGGACTGAAACATCCTGTTCATATACTTGAAGAAGTGTTGGCACTGCACTAACCTGAGAGAAGATGAAATCCATTCCCTAAGGGTTCGAGCATTCAACATAGTTTCGGCTGTTGTAAAGGTCTTCGAAACTACCACAAGTGCAAATATCAAAAGAATATGAATGAACGATAAGAAACCCCACGTAGAGCTTAGATTACAAAAGTCAATATGTAGTGATATAACTAAACTTAATGCTTATCAAGGGTAGTTTCTGGGTTTAACTCTGCAATATTTCGGGCAACTTCAAGCACCACAACTACAACCAACACACAGAATACAGATGGTGGCCAAGATCTCTACGTTCTAGGCGGGGCTAGGCGGGCTAGGCTGGGGCAAGGGTCGCTAGGCGGTCTAGGCGGGCGACATGAGGGTATATGCAGATGGTGGCCAAGATCTCTGTGTTTCTGGGCGGGGGCTAGGCGGGCTAGGTTGGGGCTAGGCGGTCACTAGGCGGGCTAGAAGGCCTCTAGGCGGTCTAGGCGGGGCTAGGCGGTCTAGGCGGGCGGTCTAGGCGGGCGCTGCGCATAGAAAAAAAAACGCCATTTTGGAATCTCCAAGGTCAGGGAAGAGATCACGATGGTGAGACAGAGAGATGAGGATTGAAGAAGAAGTCTGAGCGAGAGAGAGGGGCTGGAAGACGGCTCTTGTTAGAGTTAGGGTTTGAGAAGGAAAATTGCATTTATATGTTGAAAAAAAAAAAAAAAAAAAAAAAAAAAAAAGAAGAAGGGCCCCCGATTACTCCTCATTCTTAAACCCCTTTTATTTTTCTCTCTTGTGTTTTGTTCCACTATTCGGTTCTGTCTTCTTTTATGTTGGTTGGTAGATCTTCATCAATCATCAAAGTTCTTTTTTCTCGTGATATTTGTGTGATCTTTTTTTTTCTTTTTTTTTCTTTTTGTGTGTGTGTGTGTGTGTGTGTGTATGCAGTGCAGGTGCCAAAGACTGGAAACGGCAAGAAAAAAGGCTCAACCCCTTAACAAGGAAGGATAGATTATCATCAGCAAGATGTTTCTCCGTGGGGATTCAGTTATCATTGTTCTTAGGAGTATTAAGTGAGGTGTGTTGTATGTAGCTTTGAATAATTATACAGAGAATGCATCTAACATAGTCCCTGAATATGGGCTATGTTTCTTCAAGCACCACAACTACAACCAACAAACAGAATACAGATTGCTTTAAAAAATAAACACAAAGAAAATTTGAAAGCATGCAAAAGCATGCCGTGTCCTAAAATCCTATGTGCTGTATCAAATACAAAATGCTTCTCTATATGTCTTTAACAGATGAATGCATACCTCCTTCAAGAACTATGCCACTGAAATAAACTCATGAACACAGACAATCTCATTGTTCCAATCAGGTAGGTCCTAAAATGAAGGAGCTGAAAGAAAATATTAAAGTTCGAACTTACGCCCTCATCTTGGAAGGACTTGTTCCATCAGCACCACCAACTATTGATCTTGACATCTGATGTAAATCTATCAGAAATAAATGAACAAAATATAACTTAATCAGAGCTAACTTGGTCTTAGAATGGTAGGTTTTAATAAAATTTCTCAAGATGCAACACAAATGTTTCAGAAATGAGTACAGCTATGTTTAACATCAGATATAGCAGATGAGGATAATTATAAATGACACACAAATTAAGTGTTATGTTTGTTTTAGGTGAACCTGGAGATGCTACTAAGGTTGAATCCCATACTCAAACTCATACAGATCGGACTATGGAGATCTAACAAGACATGTTAGCATTGAAATTGAATGAAAATATTGAAAAATGGGTACAAGTACTCAACCAATGGATTTCCCTGTCCCCATCCGTTTCATGTTCATGCATTCTTTAGCTCATGTCCTGAAGATAACACATAAAACAACAAAAGTGGATACTCACGGAATGTAAACAAGTAGCTCAAGATCACCCTCATTGCTCTCCAAGTGTTCCTGTGGCAGAAAGTAGGATCAGATGGGCTTCATATGACTAGTAATTGGAACATAAATTAAAACCAAAATATATGCATGGTAAACCTGAACTGAATCTCAACCAATGATTCAGTAATTCCTTGGCCGAATATGAGGGTTTTTCCTCTTCTACAGCAACTGTATTATCTTGCATCTCTCTGGGAGTTTTTGATTTACTCTTCTTGCCCATCTTATGGATCCAAAAGCTGCATTTCACCCAGATTACATTACTGAGAATTGACAAAAATGTATTTGCAGAGATGCTAGACTCGCCAGGAAAAAAGAAATCTGAAGGAGAAAAAAAAAGCCATTCAAGTTTTTGAAAAATCGGGCGCCTATGCAGGCTAGGTGGTTTTTTTTTCTCTAGAGTTGATGCCATTTTGGAGTTAGCATCAAATGGCATTCGTTTTCTCTGTAAATGGCCACAGGACCTTAATTCTTGTTGAGTGGTATAGAATGACATGCTTTATAATTCTTTCCTATTAGATTTCTCCTCTCTTTCTTTCGAAATTGAAATCGGAGTGATAGTTGGTCATTTGATTCTGATGATATTGGTTGAATGCAAGCAACTCCCAAGGTTCACCCTAATTTACGGAAACCAAGGAGTGGCTTAGACCCGATGAACAATGACCTTCCCAGCACCAACCTTGAAGACTCTATATCCTGCTTTGATTTTTCCAAGAATGATTCATGTCTCATATCAGCAACAGGAGGGATGATCTCCATTTTTGACATGATGAAAACGTTTAAGGTAAACCCAACACAAATAGTATTCTTGAAATTTTCTTTTCCCAGCCAAAACTTCCCAAATCTTGTTTGTCAATATGCTTAGGTTCTGTTTGCAAATTTCTCATGATCTAACTCATTGTACTCATACAAATCTGTTGCGTAAAAATGCAGACGACGAAGAAAGTCATGCCACCGCCACTGCGGCAACATGTCTTGCTTTCATTGGAATCCTCATAGCCTAATCTTGGAGGATCTTTTGTGTCCATTGGAATCCTCAATCTCTAATTTGAATTCTCATACTTTTGCCAATCAAATTGGACACTCATAGCCTTTGATCTAGCCAACCCTAGCTCACGGAACAGACAGGTGTTGTTGAATCGGTTCAGTTTTTATAATTCATGTTTTTACAGATCTTTAGTGTCCATTAGAATCATCAATCTCTAATTTGAATTCTCATACTTTCTCCAATCAAATTGGACACTCCTTGCCTTTGATCTAGCCAACCCTAGCTCAGGGAACAGACAGGTGTTGTTGAATCGGTTCAGTTTTTTGGTATGTTGTTTTTGCAGATCTTTTGTGTCCATTGGAATCCTCAATCTCTAATTTGAATTCTCATACTTTTGCCAATCAAATTGGACACTCATAGCCTTTGATCTAGCCAACCCTAGCTCACGGAACAGACAGGTGTTGTTGAACGGGTTCAGTTTTTATAATTCATGTTTTTACAGATCTTTAGTGTCCATTAGAATCATCAATCTCTAATTTGAATTCTCATACTTTCTCCAATCAAATTGGACACTCCTTGCCTTTGATCTAGCCAACCCTAGCTCAGGGAACAGACAGGTGTTGTTGAATCGGTTCAGTTTTTTGGTATGTTGTTTTGCAGATCTTTGTGTCCATTGGAATCCTCAATCTCTAATTTGAATTCTCATACTTTTGCCAATCAAATTGGACACTCATAGCCTTTGATCTAGCCAACCCTAGCTCACGGAACAGACAGGTGTTGTTGAATGGGTTCAGTTTTTATAATTCATGTTTTTACAGATCTTTAGTGTCCATTAGAATCATCAATCTCTAATTTGAATTCTCATACTTTCTCCAATCAAATTGGACACTCATGCCTTTGATCTAGCCAACCCTAGCTCACGGGAACAGACAGGTGTTGTTGAATCGGTTCAGTTTTTTATTCATGTTTTTACAGATCTTTTGTGTCCATTAGAATCATCAATCTCTAATTTGAATTCTCATACTTTTGCCAATCAAATTGGACACTCATAGCCTTTGATCTAGCCAACCCTAGCTCACGGAACAGACAGGTGTTGTTGAATCGGTTCAGTTTTTATAATTCATGTTTTTACAGATCTTTTGTGTCCATTAGAATCATCAATCTCTAATTTGAATTCTCATACTTTTGCCAATCAAATTGGACACTCATAGCCTTTGATCTAGCCAACCCTAGCTCAGGAACAGACAGGTGTTGTTGAACGGGTTCAGTTTTTATAATTCATGTTTTTACAGATCTTTGTGTCCATTAGAATCATCAATCTCTAATTTGAATTCTCATACTTTCTCCAATCAAATTGGACACTCCTTGCCTTTGATCTAGCCAACCCTAGCTCACGGAACAGACAGGTGTTGTTGAATCGGTTTCAGTTTTTTGGTATGTTGTTTTGCAGATCTTTGTGTCCATTGGAATCCTCAATCTCTAATTTGAATTCTCATACTTTTGCCAATCAAATTGGACACTCATGGCCTTTGATCTAGCCAACCCTAGCTCACGGAACAGACAGGTGTTGTTGAATCGGTTCAGTTTTATAATTCATGTTTTACAGATCTTTGTGTCCATTAGAATCATCAATCTCTAATTTGAATTCTCATACTTTCTCCAATCAAATTGGACACTCATGCCTTTGATCTAGCCAACCCTAGCTCAGGGAACAGACAGGTGTTGTTGAATCGGTTCAGTTTTTTGGTATTTGTTTTTGCAGATCTTTGTGTCCATTGGAATCCTCAATCTCTAATTTGAATTCTCATACTTTTGCCAATCAAATTGGACACTCATAGCCTTTGATCTAGCCAACCCTAGCTCACGGAACAGACAGGTGTTGTTGAATCAGTTCAGTTTTATAATTCATGTTTTTACAGATCTTTTGTGTCCATTAGAATCATCAATCTCTAATTTGAATTCTCATACTTTCTCCAATCAAATTGGACACTCCTTGCCTTTGATCTAGCCAACCCTAGCTCAGGGAACAGACAGGTGTTGTTGAATCGGTTCAGTTTTTTGGTATGTTGTTTTTGCAGATCTTTTGTGTCCATTGGAATCCTCAATCTCTAATTTGAATTCTCATACTTTTGCCAATCAAATTGGACACTCATAGCCTTTGATCTAGCCAACCCTAGCTCACGGAACAGACAGGTGTTGTTGAATCAGTTCAGTTTTATAATTCATGTTTTTACAGATGTTTTGTGTCCATTAGAATCATCAATCTCTAATTTGAATTCTCATACTTTCTCCAATCAAATTGGACACTCCTTGCCTTTGATCTAGCCAACCCTAGCTCAGGGAACAGACAGGTGTTGTTGAATCGGTTCAGTTTTTGGTATGTTGTTTTTGCAGATCTTTGTGTCCATTGGAATCCTCAATCTCTAATTTGAATTCTCATACTTTTGCCAATCAAATTGGACACTCATAGCCTTTGATCTAGCCAACCCTAGCTCACGGAACAGACAGGTGTTGTTGAATCGGTTCAGTTTTTATAATTCATGTTTTACAGATCTTTGTGTCCATTAGAATCATCAATCTCTAATTTGAATTCTCATACTTTCTCCAATCAAATTGGACACTCCTTGCCTTTGATCTAGCCAACCCTAGCTCAGGGAACAGACAGGTGTTGTTGAATCGGTTCAGTTTTTTGGTATGTTGTTTTTGCAGATCTCTTGTGTCCATTGGAATCCTCAATCTCTAATTTGAATTCTCATACTTTTGCCAATCAAATTGGACACTCATAGCCTTTGATCTAGCCAACCCTAGCTCACGGAACAGACAGGTGTTGTTGAATCGGTTCAGTTTTTATAATTCATGTTTTTACAGATCTTTTGTGTCCATTAGAATCATCAATCTCTAATTTGAATTCTCATACTTTCTCCAATCAAATTGGACACTCATGCCTTTGATCTAGCCAACCCTAGCTCAGGGAACAGACAGGTGTTGTTGAATCGGTTCAGTTTTTTGGTTCATTGTTTTTGCAGATCTTTGTGTCCATTGGAATCCTCAATCTCTAATTTGAATTCTCATACTTTTCCAATCAAATTGGACACTCATGCCTTTGATCTAGCCAACCCTAGCTCACATAACAGACAGGTGTTGTTGAATCGGTTCAGTTTTTATAATTCATGTTTTTACAGATCTTTTGTGTCCATTAGAATCATCAATCTCTAATTTGAATTCTCATACTTTTGCCAATCAAATTGGACACTCATAGCCTTTGATCTAGCCAACCCTAGCTCACGGAACAGACAGGTGTTGTTGAATCGGTTCAGTTTTTTAATTCATGTTTTTACAGATCTTTAGTGTCCATTAGAATCATCAATCTCTAATTTGAATTCTCATACTTTCTCCAATCAAATTGGACACTCCTTGCCTTTGATCTAGCCAACCCTAGCTCAGGGAACAGACAGGTGTTGTTGAATCGGTTCAGTTTTTTGGTATGTTGTTTTTGCAGATCTCTTGTGTCCATTGGAATCATCAATCTCTAATTTGAATTCTCATACTTTTGCCAATCAAATTGGACACTCATAGCCTTTGATCTAGCCAACCCTAGCTCACGGAACAGACAGGTGTTGTTGAATCGGTTCAGTTTTTATAATTCATGTTTTTACAGATCTTTAGTGTCCATTAGAATCATCAATCTCTAATTTGAATTCTCATACTTTCTCCAATCAAATTGGACACTCCTTGCCTTTGATCTAGCCAACCCTAGCTCAGGGAACAGACAGGTGTTGTTGAATCGGTTCAGTTTTTGGTATGTTGTTTTGCAGATCTTTGTGTCCATTGGAATCCTCAATCTCTAATTTGAATTCTCATACTTTTGCCAATCAAATTGGACACTCATAGCCTTTGATCTAGCCAACCCTAGCTCACGGAACAGACAGGTGTTGTTGAATCGGGTTCAGTTTTATAATTCATGTTTTTACAGATCTTTAGTGTCCATTAGAATCATCAATCTCTAATTTGAATTCTCATACTTTTCCAATCAAATTGGACACTCCTGCCTTTGATCTAGCCAACCCTAGCTCAGGGAACAGACAGGTGTTGTTGAATCGGTTCAGTTTTTGGTATGTTGTTTTTGCAGATCTTTTGTGTCCATTGGAATCCTCAATCTCTAATTTGAATTTCATACTTTTGCCAATCAAATTGGACACTCATTTTTTTTTTTTTTTTTTTTTTTTTTTTTTTTTTTTTTTTTTTTTTTTTTTTTTTTTTTTTTTTTTTTTTTTTTTTTTTTTTTTTTTTTTTTTTTTTTTTTTTTTTTTTTTTTTTTTTTTTTTTTTTTTTTTTTTTTTTTTTTTTTTTTTTTTTTTTTTTTTTTTTTTTTTTTTTTTTTTTTTTTTTTTTTTTTTTTTTTTTTTTTTTTTTTTTTTTTTTTTTTTTTTTTTTTTTTTTTTTTTTTTTTTTTTTTTTTTTTTTTTTTTTTTTTTTTTTTTTTTTTTTTTTTTTTTTTTTTTTTTTTTTTTTTTTTTTTTTTTTTTTTTTTTTTTTTTTTTTTTTTTTTTTTTTTTTTTTTTTCCCCCCCCCCAATTTTTTTTTTTTCCCACCATATTATGATGTTCCCCAAGTTTTGGACTCAATCCGATATCGATTGGTCCGTGAAATTGGACGATTCAGGTTCGTACGAAGTTCGCTCTGAAATGGAGTGGTTGGTGTATTGCATAGTTTTATCCATTGGATTTCACTCAAAACACACCAAATGACTCCTCCCACCATATTATGATGTTCCCCCAGTTTTGGACTCAATCCGATATCGATTGGTCCTTGAAATTGGAAGGTTCAGGTTCGTACGAAGTTCGTTCTGAAATGGAGTGGTTGGTGTATTGCATAGTTTTATCCATTGGATGATAAGGTCATAATTTCACACATTTGCATGCCTTCTTTGCTTAGTAATTTTGTTTACCTTCTCTTTATTTTGAGTCTCTTACCTATGTTTGTGTGTTTTGTAGGTTAAGACAGCAAGAGATCACATTTGATGCAATCCATGCTTGATAAGGGCTGATTGGGATAAGAGGAATATGAGCTTAAGGACAAACCCAATTTGGGCCACAATCCTTGTCAGTCCAGTTTCGTGGGTCATCTTGCAGTCCTCATTTCAGCAACTTACACAGGTCGGATGAGGAGACATCCTTGATAGAAGTTGTTCCAATTGGTGTCTATTATAACATATCCAAATTTCAGCCCAATTGGATAAATCTGGAGCCCTCAGCACGTCAAAGACTGAATCAAGTTCACAGAAATGTCATGACTGGCTGCCATCACATCTACATCCCTAGAGCCATGTGCTAAGCATGGGCAGCCATACATGGGAGTCAAATCAGTTCAGAAACTCAGAATGATGAACAAAAGTCAAGTTTTCCATTAAAAAACCATACCAAAGCATGTATTTGACAGCTGGAGCAGGTGGCAAGTATGGGCATCTGGAGCAGGTGGCAAGTATGGGCTGCTGGAGTTGTTGGGAGCAGCTAAGAGAGGTGTGCTTCACCAGCCAAAGGGGAGGACGAAATTGCACTCTATAAATAGAGGGCTGCACACTCATTCAAGATATAGAGAGTCAGATACACATTTTCACTTCACCCATTACTCTCATACACAAATTCAGATTCACCACAAAGAGAGAAGAGAGCTTGGAGCTGTCATGGGAATTCCTTGCTGCCATCATCTAGTTCTTCTCCTCTCTTTATCCTATCTATGTATTTCTTATTTTCTGTATTCATAGTTATGTCTAACTAATCCATTTAGTTAGGGCTTAGGATGAAGCCCTAGTCATGAATATTCAATGTTATGAATGATTTTATAGTTAATTGATTTCCTTTATTTCATTATCAAGTTGTTAATCTCCAGTTTATAATGTTGAAGGAGGTGGTGCGCTTGTTGTCCAACCTCGAAAACCCCTGCGTGAGTTTTCCATTCCCAAAGTCACCGATCAACCTTCGTGCATCGTCTATCCTCAACTCACAGTTGATAGGTTTGAGCTTAAAAGTGGTATGATTCATCTTCTTCCAACTTATTATGGTAATACCACTGAGGATCCTTACATGTATATTAAGCAATTCTTTGAAATATGTGCTACGATCAAAATTCATGGCCTTGATGATGAGCAGATTAAGATGAGGCTATTCCCATTCAGTTTAAAAGATAAGGCTAAGTCTTGGTTATACTCTTTGCCTAATGCTTCAATTCATACTTGGGAAGAGCTTTCTAATAAGTTTTTGCAGAAATTCTTCCCGGCTCAAAAGACTAACAAGATTAGAAAGGAAATCCTTGGTTTCACACAAAAGGAAGGAGAAGCTTTTCATGAATGTTGGGAGAGGTACAAGGAGATGATAAGTTCTTGCCCACACCACAACATAGAGAGTTGGATGCAAATGCAATCTTTCTATGAAGGTTTGCTTGATTCCGAAAGGATGATGGTAGATGCAACAAGTGGAGAAGGACTGATGAACAAAACAGCAGATGAGGCTTTTACTCTCTTTGAATCCTTGAGTGCTAACTCTCAACAATGGAGCCACAATAAAGGAAGAGGAGCTCCTATGAAAGCTGTGGTCTCTGAGGTAAGTACTAATAATGAGATTGCTGCAAAACTTGATGTTATGTGTTCTTTGCTTCAACAGGCAGTGACTGGCCCTCTAGGAAACAAAGTAGAAGTTCAAGATCAATCTTTTGCAGAGCACATGCTAGAACAAGCAAATGCCCTTCAAGCAAGGAATCCTAATAATGATCCTTACTCAAACACGTACAATCCGGGGTGGAGAAATCATCCTAATTTCAAGTGGAGCAATAACCCAAATGTGCAACAATCTCAAGGACCTCCCCCAGGATTTCAAATACAACAAAGGCAATTCCAGCAAGCTCCCCAACAAGTGCAAGAGCAAAGGGGTGATCAAATGGGAGAATTGCAAGACATGTTCAAGAAGTTCATGGGGCAACAGATGCAAACCAATCAGAATCTTCAAAATGCAGTGAACAAACTAGAAGTGCAAGTTGGGCAGATTGCATCCTCCATGAGCAATAGGGCATCCGGAACATTTCCAAGCCAAACAGAGGTGAATCCAAGGCATCAAGAGCATGCTAAAGCAGTACACATCTTGAGAAGTGGTAAACAAGTTGATAACAAGGTTGGAGATGTCAACGAAGAGCAAGAAGATGGAGAAAACGTGGAGATCATTCAGCCACCACATGGGCAGCCCACAGCTTCCACCAAACAGCCCCTCAATGCTCCTGGAAAGAGCACAGGCCCTAAGGTATCATCTAATGCTAATCAAGTTCCAATTTCAACTAATGCTTTTAGGCCTATTGCACCCTTTCCCAGCAGGTTATCAAAGTCAAAGAAAGATCAAGGCTTGGATGAGATAATGGAAACATTCAAGAAGGTGCAAATCAACATCCCATTGCTCAATGCCATTGCTCAGATTCCAAAGTATGCAAAATTTTTGAAGGATCTATGCACTAACAAGAGGAGATTCAAAGAGCATGAACAAGTTGCATTGAGTGAAGAGGTAAGTGCAGTGTTACAAAGAAAGCTACCTCCAAAGCTAAAGGATCCAGGTTCGTTTTCTATACCTTGCATAGTTGGTGATTTTAAGTTTCAAAAAGCTTTGCTTGATCTTGGTGCTTCTATAAACCTTATGCCATATCATGTTTATGAGAAACTTAACCTTGGTGAGTTGCAAGCCACATCTGTGAGCATTCAATTGGCAGATAGAACTATTAGGTACCCTAAGGGCATTCTAGAAGATGTTTTGGTGAAAGTGGAAGAGCTAATTTTGCCGGCAGATTTCTTGGTGTTGGAAATGGAAGAAGCACCAATTCATGACAATCAGTTACCACTCATTCTAGGTCGGCCATTCATGGCAACTGCCGGTGCTATTATTGATGTGAAGAAGGGTACATTGACCATGAACGTGTTTGATGAGACAATAGCATTCAAAGTGTTTGAAGCCTCCAAGTTTCCAAGTGATGAGCATGAAGTTTTCCAGCTTGATGCAATTGATACTATGGTGAAAGAAGCACTGCCAATGAGTTATTTGGAGCCCATTGAAGCATGCATCACACAAAGCATAAGGAAAGAAGAAGTGGACAGCTTAGAGGCTGTGATCTCTCCTTTACTTCTTGAGCTTGTTTGCAGCATGGATAGCTACATAGAAGTTGGAAAGAGGTATGCAAATCAATTTGAATCATTACCCCCACCTACTAATAAGGTTTTACCATCTATTGTGCAGGCACCAGAGTTGGAATTAAAGGAATTGCCAAAACACCTTAAATATGCTTATTTAGGTGAAAATGAGACTCTACCTGTTATCATTGCCTCACACCTCGAACCAAATGATGAGAAGAAGCTTTTGAGAGTTCTAAAAGAGCACAAAACTGCAATTGGGTGGAGCATTGCAGATATCAAAGGCATAAGTCCAACACTATGCATGCACAAGATATTATTGGAAGACAATGCAATGCCTAAGAGGGATGCCCAAAGACGTCTCAATCCGAACATGAAGGAGGTGGTAAGAAAAGAGGTAATGAAGCTTTTAGATGTTGGTATTATTTACCCTATTTCTGACAGTAAATGGGTGAGCCCAGTGCAAGTTGTTCCCAAAAAGTCAGGTATCACAGTGGTGAAGAATGAAGCAAATGAGCTTGTACCTACACGGGTGACCACGGGCTGGAGAGTTTGCATCGATTATAGGAAGCTCAACACAGCAACAAGCAAGGATCACTTCCCTCTTCCATTCATTGATCAGATGCTTGAGAGATTGGCTGGCCATAGCCACTATTGCTTCCTTGATGGATATTCAGGCTACAACCAAATCGCCATAGCCCCAGAGGATCAGGAGAAGACAACCTTCACGTGTCCCTTTGGTACTTTCGCTTATAGGAGGATGCCTTTTGGTCTCTGTAATGCCCCAGCCACTTTTCAAAGGTGCATGATGAGCATTTTCTCCGACATGGTAGAAAGGTTCATTGAGGTATTCATGGATGACTTCTCTGTCTTTGGTGATTCTTTTGATCAATGCTTGCATTACTTATCCAAGGTGTTGGCTAGATGTGAACAGACTAACCTTGTGCTTAATTGGGAAAAATGTCATTTTATGGTTAACCAAGGCATAGTTCTTGGTCATGTCATCTCTAGTAAAGGAATCGAGGTAGATAAAGCTAAGATTGATTTGATTGCCTCCATGCCCTCACCTACTTCTGTCAAAGAAGTACGTTCTTTCCTTGGCCATGCAGGTTTCTATAGGCGTTTCATTAAGGAATTTTCTAAGATTGCGAGGCCTTTGTGCAATCTCCTTGCCAAGGACATGGATTTTGTCTTTGATCAAAACTGTGAGAATGCTTTCAATGCTTTGAAGAAGATGCTCACAACTGCCCCAATCATTATACCACCAGATTGGAGCTTGCCTTTTGAATTGATGTGTGACGCCTCTGATTATGCCGTTGGAGCTGTTTTGGGACAGCGAGTTGATAAGAAGCCACATGCCATCTACTATGCTAGTAGAACCCTCAACGATGCCCAACTCAACTATTCCACCACAGAGAAGGAGTTATTAGCTGTCATATTTGCTTTAGAAAAGTTCAGATCATATTTGATTACTAACAAGGTTATTGTTTACACTGATCATGCAGCATTAAAATACTTGTTAGCCAAGAAGGATGCCAAGCCACGACTCATTAGATGGATTCTCTTGTTGCAAGAGTTTGACTTAGAGATAAAAGATAAGAAAGGAAGTGAGAATGTTGTGGCTGATCATTTGAGTAGATTGGTGCATGTGTCTAACGAAGAGGAGGATTCATTGCCATTGCGTGAAAGCTTCCCTGATGAGCAACTCTTCTCCATTTGTGCTTTGAATTCTCTCAATCCATTACCTTGGTTTGCTGATATTGTTAACTATTTGTGCACTAATGAACTCCCTACAGGGTTATCTACGTTCCAACGTGACAAGCTTAGGAAGCAAGCAAGATACTACTTTTGGGATGATCCATATCTATTCAAGCATTGCCCAGACCAAGTAATTCGAAGGTGTGTGCCTGAAGGTGATTTTAAGAGCATTCTGGAGTTTTGTCACTCCCATGCATGTGGAGGACATTTTGGAGCAAAGAAGACTGCCAACAAAGTGCTACAATCAGGTTTCTTTTGGCCTACCCTTTTTAAGGATGCGTATGTTTTTTGTGCTTCATGTGATAGATGCCAACGGATGGGTAATTTACATGCTAGAAATCAGATGCCTCTCACCAATATCCTAATCATTGAAATATTTGATGTTTGGGGAATTGATTTCATGGGCCCTTTTCCTACCTCTTATGGATTTGAATATATATTAGTTGCTGTCGATTATGTTTCTAAATGGGTAGAAGCCATTGCCACTAGAACTAATGATGCTAAGGTTGTGATCGGTTTTCTCAAAGGAAATATTTTTACAAGGTTTGGCACACCTAGAGCAATCATTAGTGATGGTGGCTCCCACTTTGTTAACCAAGCTTTTGCAGCACTCTTGAAGAAATATGGAATCACGCATAAGGTGGCAACACCCTATCATCCCCAAACTAGTGGGCAGGTTGAGATAAGCAATAGGGAGATTAAGCACATACTTGAAAAGACGGTGAACACCACAAGGAAGGATTGGTCCATGCGTTTGGATGATGCATTGTGGGCTTATAGGACTGCTTATAAGACACCTATAGGTATGTCTCCGTATAGGCTTGTTTTCGGTAAACCTTGTCACTTACCAGTGGAGCTTGAGCACAGGGCTTATTGGGCAATCAAGGCCTTCAATTTTGATATGAAAGCTGCTGGTGAGAAGAGGAGGCTTCAACTCAATGAGTTGGAGGAGTTGCGACATGAAGCGTATGAGAATGCTAAGCTTTACAAGGAGAAAACAAAGCAATATCATGACAAGAAAATTCTTAGGAAGACGTTTGAGAAAGGGCAGAAGGTTCTCCTATTCAATTCACGCCTTAAGCTCTTTCCAGGTAAGCTTCGTTCTCGGTGGATTGGCCCTTTTGTTATTACTAATGTGTTTGATCATGGCGCAGTGGAGATTCAAAATATTAAGGATGGCAGCACCTTCAAGGTGAACGGACATCGGTTGAAACCTTACTTTGATGCCAACTTTGATGCCAATATTGAGTCTCAAGCACTCAAGGAGCCTCTACCACTCTCTTGATGTTCACCAGAGTTTGAACGTCCGGCTGAAGACATAAAACTTAGCGCTTCTTGGGAGGCAACCCAAGGTGACGAGGAGAAGACAGAACATGCAAGGAAGCCTGCTTGTCCTAATCGCTTCAAAGGGGAGTTTTTCTGAACTCTAACCTTTGCTTATGTCTTTCCCTTATCTTCTTTCCTTTCATTTATGAGGCATTGCTTTTTCTTACACTCTAAACATTGAGGACAATGTTTCATTTAAGTTTGGGGGGAAGGATTTAGTTATGTTGTTTCAAATGATCAAATTTTAAAATTTTGAGTGTGTCTAATGGCCAAAAACGCAGGATTTTGTGTCTTGTTTCGTTATCCTTCCAAACACCTATGATAAGACTTGGATCTAATACTAATATGGTTTCTCAGAAATTGATAGTCATTGTTTAAGGACTTTGTGTGGTTCTGAGTTAACTCTGTCTTGCATGCCATCCTTGCACTTATTGAGCACTTTGCCAAGTTAGTCCAATTTCTTGTTACTTAGAGATGTTATGCAATTCTACTTATCTCATGATCTTGGTTTTGTACTCTAGAACTTATTTGAATATCTCTTGAGACATTTTGTTGCCATACAATGCTTAGGAAGTGATTTTGGCCATGTTTGAACCGTTTGAGCCTTTCTAACCATCCCTCTACATGTATTCATCCCTAGTCAACCCATTTGAGCCTACGTTAAGCCTTTCTTTGTGTAAACCCTTCCTACCATAATGAACCTCTGTTTTCTTATTCTTACTTATCTATGAGCAATTAAAGCTATCTTCAAAAGAGAGTTATAAAGAATGCAAGGTTTTTGGAGCAAAAAATGAATCATTAGTGCCATAACCCAAGTGTTGAAAAGAAATAAGTTTGGGGGTATTGGTAACTAATCAAAAGAGGTAATGAAGTGTGACCAATGTAGTCACGGCCCTAGGGTGTTATAAAAGAGAAGATCATGGTGATCTAGGGTAAAGAGCCACAAAATTAGGCCAAATAAACAGATATGAAGGTGCTGAAATTATGTTGAAAATCTGCTCATGTATGTGTTCCTTGCTTGTTACAAAGTTCAGTAATCTCTTATGCTCTTACCTATGCTTTAATTATGCTCAAAATATTGTATATCTCATATCCCTTCTTTCATTCAACCACTACCCTAAACCTCATTACTACCCTTGTAAAGTCCTTTTGATCCTTGGTGTTGCATGGTATTATGTGGAGAGCAGATTGGATAATGAGCTTATGGGGTTCGGAATTTTTGATTTTGCTCTAAGTGTGTGCGCATGTACTTATTTGAGTTGCAGGTGTTGTTCTGATTTGGCATTCACACACTACACTTAAGGATGTCATTGTGAGCCTTGGTTACCCTTGAATCATGTGTGGAACTTAGATTGTGATTGTTGTGTTTCTTTGGAACCATATATTTCAGTGATTCTTTGAGGATATTGTTTGGAAGGCTAGCAGCTTATTTCCTGTTTTCTAAATGGTATTTTTCCTTTGTTTTGCTCGAGGACTAGCAAAATCTAAGTTTGGGGGTATTTGATAAGGTCATAATTTCACACATTTGCATGCCTTCTTTGCTTAGTAATTTTGTTTAGCTTCTCTTTATTTTGAGTCTCTTACCTATGTTTGTGTGTTTTGTAGGTTAAGACAGCAAGAGATCACATTTGATGCAATCCATGCTTGATAAGGGCTGATTGGGATAAGAGGAATATGAGCTTAAGGACAAACCCAATTTGGGCCACAATCCTTGTCAGTCCAGTTTCGTGGGTCATCTTGCAGTCCTCATTTCAGCAACTTACACAGGTCGGATGAGGAGACATCCTTGATAGAAGTTGTTCCAATTGGTGTCTATTATAACATATCCAAATTTCAGCCCAATTGGATAAATCTGGAGCCCTCAGCACGTCAAAGACTGAACCAAGTTCACAGAAATGTCATGACTGGCTGCCATCACATCTACATCCCTAGAGCCATGTGCTAAGCATGGGCAGCCATACATGGGAGTCAAATCAGTTCAGAAACTCAGAATGATGAACAAAAGTCAAGTTTTCCATTAAAAAACCATACCAAAGCATGTATTTGGCAGCTGGAGCAGGTGGCAAGTATGGGCATCTGGAGCAAGTGGCAAGTATGGGCTGCTGGAGTTGTTGGGAGCAGCTAAGAGAGGTGTGCTTCACCAGCCAAAGGGGAGGACGAAATTGCACTCTATAAATAGAGGGCTGCACACTCATTCAAGGGGGAGAGAGTCAGATACACATTTTCACTTCACCCATTACTCTCATACACAAATTCAGATTCACCACAAAGAGAGAAGAGAGCTTGGAGCTGTCCTGGGAATTCCTTGCTGCCATCATCTAGTTCTTCTCCTCTCTTTATCCTATCTATGTATTTCTTATTTTCTGTATTCATAGTTATGTCTAACTAATCCATTTAGTTAGGGCTTAGGATGAAGCCCTAGTCATGAATATTCAATGTTATGGATGATTTTATAGTTAATTGATTTCCTTTATTTCATTATCAAGTTGTTAATCTCCAGTTTATCATGTGCTTGATGTATGTTTGCTTAGAGTAGCTAACTAGGATTTTATGCATCTAGCACAGGTTGGGAAGGGGTTTAGATTCACCAATTCTACTCTCCTTTCACAAGCAACACATGAATGGCCTAAGAATCATTCAAGGGGTTAATAACCATAAGTTGACTAGGACAGATACCATGTTCTAGGACTTGTGTGATTATCATATTCTCAAGGAGCTTAATGACTCTTGTATGCTTTATTCTAAGTAGATACCATGCTTAGGTTGCATATTAGAGATCAAGTGTTGTGTAGATACCATGCACAATCACATGCCTTAGGAGAATCATGCATCCTGCACCTAGATACCATAGGCTTGTATGCGATAATCTATTGTTGATGAAGCTTGAGTCAATTTCTATGCATTCATAACTTGGATAGGAAGACTAGTGGTAGATTCCAAGGCTCTAACACCTCTCAATCTTTGTTTCACAACTTGTTGATTGCTGCCAGTGTTTATTTTCGAGCACTTTCATTTCACGTTCTTCTTTTCATTTCAACAACAAAACCCCCCCATTTCGAGTGCGTGTGTGGTGCTAGGATTCTGTCCTAGACCTTGAGTAATTAGCAAGAGGCATTGTTGAGTTCGAACTTGCCTTTAGCTAGTTAGTCAGTTTCTTTGTTTTATGTTTTTCTAGCATTCTAAGTAATTTAACTTGGAACCAAGTTACCATTCTCCGTGGGATCGACCTCGTATTTACATAAGCTATACTATAAACGGTTCGTGCACTTGCGAGAATTAAAGTTGCTGTTTTTAATAACTCATTTTTTTTTTTTTTTTTTTTTTTTTTTTTTTTTTTTTTTTTTTTTTTTTTTTTTTTTTTTTTTTTTTTTTTTTTTTTTTTTTTTTTTTTTTTTTTTTTTTTTTTTTTTTTTTTTTTTTTTTTTTTTTTTTTTTTTTTTTTTTTTTTTTTTTTTTTTTTTTTTTTTTTTTTTTTTTTTTTTTTTTTTTTTTTTTTTTTTTTTTTTTTTTTTTTTTTTTTTTTTTTTTTTTTTTTTTTTTTTTTTTTTTTTTTTTTTTTTTTTTTTTTTTTTTTTTTTTTTTTTTTTTTTTTTTTTTTTTTTTTTTTTTTTTTTTTTTTTTTTTTTTTTTTTTTTTTTTTTTTTTTTTTTTTTTTTTTTTTTTTTTTTTTTTTTTTTTTTTTTTTTATTTTTTTTCCCATGATTCGATTCCTCCTCCCCACCATATTTATGATGTTCCCCAAGTTTTGGACTCAATCCGATATCGATTGGTCCGTGAAATTGGACGATTCAGGGTTCGTACGAAAGTTTCGCTCTGAAATGGAGTGGTTGGTGTATTGCATAGTTTATCATTGGATTTCACTCAAAACACACCAAATGACTCCTCCCACCATATGATGATGTTCCCCAAGTTTTGGACTCAATCCGATATCGATTGGTCCCTCAAATTGGACGATTCAGGTTCGTACGAAGTTCGCTCTGAATGGAGTGGTTGGTGTATTGCATAGTTTTATCCATTGGATTCACTCAAAACACACCAAATGGACTCCTCCCACCATATTATGATGTTCCCCAAGTTTTGGACTCAATCCGATCGATTGGTCCGTAAATTGGACGATTCAGGTTCGTACGAAGTTCGCTCTGAAATGGAGTGGTTGGTGTATTGCTAGTTTTATCCCATTGGATTTTCACTCAAAACACACCAAACACTCCCACACCATATTATGATGTTCCCCAAGTTTTGGACTCAATCCGATATCGATTGGTCCGTGAAATTGGACGATTCAGGTTCGTACGAAGTTCGCTCTGAAATGGAGTGGTTGGTGTATTGCATAGTTTTTCCATTGGATTTCACTCAAAACACACCAAATGACTCCTCCCACCATATTATGATGTTCCCCAAGTTTTGGACTCAATCCGATCGATTGGTCCGAAATCGACGATTAGAAATGGACTATTCGTTCGTACGAAGTTCGCTCTGAAATGGAGTGGTTGGTGTATTGCATAGTTTTATCCATTGGATTTCACTCAAACCACACCAAATGACTCCTCCCACCATATTATGATGTTCCCCAAGTTTTGGACTCAATCCGATATCGATTGGTCCGAAATTGGACGATTCAGGTTCGTACGAAGTTCGCTCTGAAATGGAGTGGTTGGTGTATTGCATAGTTTTATCCATTGGATTTCACTCAAAACCCACCAAATGACTCCTCCCACCATATTATGTTGTTCCCCAAGTTTTGGACTCAATCCGATATCGATTGGTCCATGAAATTGGACTATTCAGGTTCGTACAAGTTCGTTCTGAAATGGAGTGGTTGGTGTATTGCATAGTTTTAGCCATTGGATTTCACTCCAAACCAACCAAATGACTCCTCCCACCATATTATGTTGTTCCCCAAGTTTTGGACTCAATCCGATATCGATTGGTCCAAGAAATCGGACTATTCAGGTTCGT